CCTGTAGACAGTCTGCTGTTCCACAGTAACAAATACAAAGGCAGAGAGAAGACATGAAAGGGGTGATTCGGTCAACTTCTAGACATTTTAGAAGACAGAAGCAGCATTTAAACTCAAACACCTGCTTTGAAGGTTTATAGCTGGTGGAGTTTGGATAGGCTTATGGTTTGTGACAAGGGCTTTATATTTAGTTCACTCCATTTCATCTTGTTCTTTCATTCTTAAATAACAATGTTTCTATTGAAAGGGAACAAATGTATAAATATTAGACTGATATGTTCAAATGCAGAATAACAAAAGCAGAATGAAGACAACCTTTTTTGAAAAATGTATTTATTTTTAATTGGAGGATAATTGTTTTACAATATTGTACTGGTTTCTACCATACCAGACAAGCTTTAAGAAACAACCTCATATGAATGAACCCAGAGCCTGTTAAAAAGTGAAGTCAGAAAGAGAAAAATAATACTGTATACTAACACACAGATGGTACTGATGAACCTATCTGCATGGCAGCAATGGAGACACAGACATAGAGAACAGACTTATAGACATGGTGGTTGGGTAGGAAGGAGAGACTGGGGCAAATGGAGAAAGTAACACAGAAACACACACACTTAGCCTACCAGGCTCCTCTGTCCATGGGATTCTCCAGGCAAGAATACTGGAGTGGGTTGCCATTTCCTTCTCCAGGGGATCTTCCCGACCCAGGGATTGAACCCGGGTCTCTCCGTTGCGGGCAGATGCTTTAACCTCTGAGCCACCAGGGAAGCCCAACATATACACTGCTGCTGCTAAGTCACTTCAGTTGTGTTGGACTCTGTGCAACCCCATAGACGGTAGCCCACCAGGCTCCCCAGTCCCTGGGATTCTCCAGGCAAGAACACTGAACATACACACTACCATATATTAAATAGATACCCAATGGGAATTTGCGGTGTGATTCAGGGAATTCAAACCACAGCTCTGTAAAAGCCTAGAGGGGTGGGATGCGGTGGGAGGTGGAAGGCAGGTTTAAGAGGGAGGAGACATATGTACACCTATGGCTAATTCATGTTGATATATGGCAGAAAACACCACAATATTGTGAAGCAATTACTCTTCAATTAAAAATAAATTGAAAAAAGAACAACCTCATAGCTCATCTCTTGAATCTGAGACCTAAGTTTTTCTTCTTTAAGGTTCAGTGACAGTAAAAGAATCGAAATGATGGTCACAAGACAGCTTGAAGAGTTTATAAATTGTACAATCTCTTCAACACAAATTAGGTAGTGAAGAAACTAGCTGTCCCCGCAGGTGGGAGTGGATACAAAATGCAGTTAAAATGAGCTGATTAAATGGAGTTTTTTTTAAATGATAAAAATTGGAAGAAATAAGTGAGGCTTTCAACAAAATTTATGAGCTTGAAAAATTATCCTAACACTCATACTGAGATTGTAAATCTCCTCTTGATTGCATTGAACTTTGGAAGCTACAAAAGGTGAAGGAATAAGAAATGAATCAAATATATAGTAATAATACTCAAGTTAAATTTAAGAATAGGTATAGTAATCATGAGCAGCACTGAGGTTTTTTTGATGCTGTTATTGTTTAAAGTATTTAACCTGATGCAAAATAATCTGAGTATTAGAACTGTAATTTATAGGAGTTAATAGTATAAATGATTATTTGATTTGATTACACTTAGGGACAGTATTGTTTATTACCTTTAGAGATAGTTTTGACTGTTTAAAAGAACAAGATTAATGTAATATATAACTTTACGTTTATGAGACACTTAAATGCTTAGCTTTTTCTTGCCAGCTTTGTCAGGGGGTTGATATATTTGAGGTTATTCAGGCTTTTTAAATGTGTGAATAGGTTTTTAACTATCTAACAGAAATTTCACTGAATTAATAAGTAGAGTTAACTTAGCAGTAAATTAAAAGCTAATCAAAGAACTAAGTGAAAGTCATGGCATACATATTTAAAAATTGAAATGAATGTAAAGGTTTAGGACACTAGGGTTTTACATTCCTCAACTTCAACAAATTCAATATCAAGTAAAAGAAGTAGCTTCAAATGTTTATTTGCTTGCAAAAAAGACCCTTTCATATACCTGAAAAGTCAACTGCAGGATACAAGAATGTCATATAATCACCAGAATATTGGGAGAATGAGAGACCCAGATATGGTATTGACCTCTAGCCAGCCAAGATCCCATCATATTGGATATCAGATACCTCCTCCACAAACACAGGGTTTCCCCGGTAGTGCAGTGGTGAAGAATCGACCTGCAATGCAGAAGACACCAGAGCCTCAGGTTTGATCCCTGGGTCAGGAAGATCCCCTGGGGAAGAAATGGTAACCTGCTCCAGTATTCTTGCCAGAAAAATCCCATGGACAAAAGAGCCTGTCAGGATATAGTCCATGGGGTCTCAAAGAGCCAGACACAACAGCACACACACAGAGGTACGGTTGCCCCAAACATATTACATTGTTTTTTTTTAAACTTAGAATTGCATGTGATTGGGAAAGAACTCCCAGATATTAGGAATTAAAAAGCTGAGTGCAAAACAGATTGCATAATATTTTATTAGCTAGGATACCAGTTTAGCAGCTATTGAAAAAGGGTGCCATCATTCCTAGCTCAGAGCTAGTACGGCACCTTCACAGTATCAGGAATACAGGCCTCTTCTATCTTGTTGCCTTTTCATCCTCAACACCCAACTTCCCTCTCATGGGAAAAGGTGGTTGCTCTCACTGCTACCACCAAATTAGCATCCTTCTCTAGAAGGGAAGACAGCCTCCTTCCTTTTTAAGGTCACAACCCAGAAATCACCTATGTGACTACAGTTTTCATCCCATGGGCTGTAAACTTAGTCAAACGACCACACCTAGCGGCAGGTAAACCGAGCATGTCATGTGTCAAGAGATTACCTTATTATAGAAGGAGGAAAGGCGCTTAGGAGACTGATAGCAGTCTTTGCTACAAATATGCCACTTTCTAAGCTAAAAAAAATTTTTTAAACACTCAAGAATATTCACTTTTGTGTATAAGAAAATGTGAAAACTTAGGAAAAAAATAAGACACAAGCAATACATCACTGATTCCAGAACATCAGCCCACATTCCAATGTCAGTATGTAATAAAGTTTTCATTAGTCCAAAAGGGAATGTTTAATTTGAACAAATACAAATTTGTTATAAATGTATATTTACCCAATTTAAACTATCCTCTATTAAGAATAAGCCCTTCCCACTATTTGAAGGTAAAATATTCTTTCTTTTAAGCAATAATATTGATGCTAAATGGCAGTACATTTGTTCATTCAGCAAATGTTTCTGGAACATCCAAGCACCACACAAGACCTATCTCAACAAACAAAGAGTCTAGAGGGGGAGACAGAGAGTAAATAAAACATCAGAAACAGAGTTTCAAGCCACGATGACAACTATTTTTAAAAAGAAATGTAGACTATACCTATGGCTGATTCCTGTTGATGTATGGCAGAGACCAATACAATACTGTGGAACAGTTATCCTTCAATTAAAAAAATAAATTAAGGAAAAAATGTAGAATGGGCTATGGGAGAACGTTCTAGGGGGACTTATTTTGGATCAAGGAGTCAGTGAAGGCTTCCAGGAAGAAGGGATGTTTAAGACGCATTCTGAAATGAGTACCTAAAAGACCAGTTAGGACACACACTGGAAGCAGACAATTGCTGTGTGCAGACATAAAATAAGGAAGCATGTGGCCCATGAAAGGTCCTAAAAGGAGGCTCTATGGACAGAAGCAAGTGATCAAAGGGAATAACTGCAGAGAGGTGGCAGGGGCTGGATAGAGGATCTCACTGGCCATGCACAGATTTTATATTTGCATCCGAAGGCAAAAAGGGAAGGGAAGACATAGAAAGGTTTTGAGCAGGAAAGTTCAGTTCAGTTCAGTCCAGTCGCTCAGTCATGTCTGACTCTCTGCGACCCNGAATTTTGCCAAGGATTTTCTATATCTATTGCTGCTGCTGCTGCTGATTCACTTCAGTCATGTCCAGCTCTGTGCGACCCCATAGACGGCAGCCCACCAGACTCCCCCGTCCCTGGGATTCTCAAGGCAAGAACATTGGAGTGGGTTGCCATTTCCTTCTCCAATGCATGAAGGTGAAAAGTGAAGGTGAAGACGCTCAGTCATGTCCGACTCTTAGCGACCCCATGGACCGCAGCCTACCAGGCTCCTCTGTCCATGGGATTTTCCAGGCAAGAGTACTGGAGTGGGTTGCCATTGCCTTCTCTGCTATATCTATTGACCCCATGGACTGCAGCCTACCAGGCTCCTCCGTCCATGGGATTTTCCAGGCAAGAGTACTGGAGTGGGGTGCCATTGCCTTCTCTGCTATATCAACTCCCATGTATAAAACAGTTACTGAGAACCTGCTATATAGCATAGGAAGTTCAGCTTGGTGCTCTGTGAAGACTTGGAGGGGTAGGGTGGGGCTGGAATGGAGGTTTAAGAGGGAGGGATATATTTATACACGTAGGTAATTCACTCCATTGTACAGCAGAAAGTAACAACACTGTAAAGCAATCATACTCCAATAACAAAAGGAAAAACAAGAAAGACCAACAAAGACTCCCTGGATTCTGGTGTGAGCACCAGGTGGTCAGGGGTACCATCTGTTAGTAGAAATGCATCAATCAAGGAGAGAAAAAGAGAAGACCCTTTGATTTGGCTCAATGTGTTCTATTTTGGATATGTTAAGAAAGGAGTTGGGAAATACATCTAATATCACTTTTTAAGTTGCTTTTTAGATGAATATACTGGAATATTTTTAACATTCTCACTTGAAATGGTTTAAACGTTTAAGTAACATTTTCACTTGATAAATTCTTTAAATACTCCAGTTCGATTCCTGGGTTGGGAAGATCCCCTACAGAAGGGAATGGCTACCCACTCCAGTATTCTGGCCTGGAGAATTCCAGGGACTGTACAGTCCAAGGGGTTGCAAAGAGTCAGACACGACTGAGCGACTTTCACCCTTCAAGGCCCAAACCAGGCCAGTCTTCCTTCCATGAATGTTTCTGTGACACCCGAAACAACAGAGACCTCCAGCTCCTGTAAGGAATTCACACTGCTCATCTGGTATTTCATGGAAGCCACTAAAGAGAGAGAGGGAGAGACATGTATTTATTCAACCTCTGATTTAGCTAGGCTCTGTGCTCAGCTTTGTGGGTTCAGTGGCGAACAAAGCCATCACGGATTTCAAGGTCCCATGGAAAGCTCTTCCTAGACTCCGCCAGCCACCTGGATGCAGCCCATCCGCACTGGAGCCAACAGTAGCATTCATTAGTGCTCTCACATATTTGTTTCTTACCCGTTATATACATAACAGTCCCACTGACCCAGGAAGCAACCCTTTTCAGAGTTTCACAGAAAAAGATTACTTGAACTCAGTGGGGCTGATGGAAATAAAACAGAGGCATCTTTTCCAATCTAATTTCAGCACTTAAACTAGTTTTATGAAATTGAATTATTTGTCAATAATTGGAACCGTTTTGCTTTATTTTAAATTTGTACTATTAGAGGAAAAAGGAATTAAACAGTCTTATATTCTTGATTCTGAGATCTACTGCCATACAAATGAACATTTTTAAGGTCAAGAAGAACTTTGCGTTGATGTGTACAATGCAGTAAATGAAAATCTGCTTTCAAATCAATGGCACCTCTTAGAACTGATGTTACCTTAGAAATGAAGTTCAACATGGAGACTCGGGAGTGACTTAATAAAAGAACTGGCTGGCAACCAAGAGACTGGCCTCCTCACTGTGGCTTACTGTCAAATAGCTACTGGTCACCAAACCCTGTGACATCTGCTGAGTTTAACTCCTCTGATCTTTTTCTATCCCATCCTTAAAAGTCTGCACTCTTGTTTCTCAAACTCTGTGGTAAGGGACACAGTTTTTAAATTTTTCCCATTCAGTTGCAGGCTATTACATTAATGAAATACAATAAAAACACCCCCTAATGCTACATCAATGTTAAATTGCTATAAAAGTTTCTAGGTGTCTATTCTTGATTTCTGTATTTGTCTTAAACGCACACTGGCCCAGGACCCATGACTGCTTTTTGAGTAACACTGACTTAGACAACCAGGATTTAGACTACGAGGTACATTAGATGATGCTTCTATAAATTATTTATCACCTTCATTTATCTGATTTTGTTTAGGAATACAATTAGCTTGTATTTCCCAGTTACATAGTAGCTGAGCAACAGAAAAACATTCTGGAGATGAGTTACACAAAATGTCAAAATGAAAGTGTCATTCATGGCAGGTTCAAGAAAGCAGTGGCATAGTTCCTCTTTGGGTCATGGACAACTAACTGACCATACAAAAGATACCTTTCAGACAAAATAATAGAAGATAAAAGTTCTCTTTTTCTCTCATTTACAACCAAGTACAAAATAACAGAATGCATCAGTTACTTGGGGGAAATTAAAAAAAAAAAAAAAAACACTTGACAACCAGAATATACAGCCAATGTTCCATTTTCCTTTATCCAGATCAGTCGTGTCCAACTCTTTGTGACCCCGTGGACTATAGCCCACCAGGCTCCTCTGTCCGTGGGATTTTCCAGGCAAGGGTACTGGAGTGGGTTGCCATTCCCTTCTCTATGGGATCTTCCCAGCCCAAGGATCAAACCCAGGTCTCCCGCATTCCAGGCACTTCACCACCTGAACTACCAGGGAAGCCCCCAACGTTCCACAGAGGTTGAATTTTCAAAGAGCAGACTGCTATTTGGTGGCTAGTACTAAAATAGGCTTTCCCTGAACCACTTAGCCCACAATAGAGAGATAATTACTCAATGATAATAGGCCATAAAACCAGTACAATTTATAGGAGCACAACTTTAGGAGTTCTACGTCAAAGTTCAAGAGCTCACGCAAATGCAGACACTGTTGCTTTTGTAAGGACTCTTGGCAAGGTAAGATGTAGGTACATGCGTGCCTGCTTCTCCTCTTTGCCCAGCAACCTGACACCTGGGGACAGAGCATAGACAGTTCCTACAGATCACCCAGTTCACATTCTGAAGACCCTTCATCAAGATGGTGAGAGAGACTACTTCAACATAAAAAAATAGAGCATCCCCTAGACAGGTTGATCCCAGGGGCCTCCCAGATACCCACTGAAAGAGAAGGCACCTGCTTTAGAGCTCAGGGTGGCAATCAGAGGCTGGTCCATCCTGAGGTCCAGGCCAAGGTTATAAGACACGTTCTCCAACTTATGTGTATCAGGATCACCAGGAGATCCTATTAACATACAGCTTGCTGGTCCTACTCTAGAATTTGATTCAGAAGGCCATGCTGAGGACTGAGAGTTTGCATTTCCAACAAGTTCCCAGAGGTGCTGATATTGCTGGTCCTGGGAGCACACTTTGAAGACCACTGGTATAAACTATCTGATGCCAGAATTGGAAAGACCTCAGAGAGTTCCTTGGACAGCAAGGAGGTCAAACCAGTCAATTCTAAAGGAAATCTACCACGAATATTCATTGGAAGGACTGATGCTGAAGCTAAAATACTTTGGCAACCTGATGCGAAAAGCCAACTCACTAGAAATTTCTAATGAGCTGGGAAAGATTGAAGGCAGGAGGAGAAGGGGATGACAGAGGATGAGATGGTTGGATGGCATCACTGACTCAATGGACATGAGTTGGAGCAAACTCCGAGAGATGGTGAAGGACAGGGAAGCCTGGTGTGCTGCAGTTCATGGGGTCACAAAGAGTCGGACACAGCTGAGCAACAATAGAGGTCACCTGATCCAAAACTTTCATTTTCCAGTGAGGATCCTGGGGTTCAAAAGGGAAGGTCTTGCTCATGGTCATATGTTTACTACTCAGAGGCTAGCTCCATCAAAACAACAACAAAACAAAACAACCCCTCAGGTTTCCAGAGCCTTAACATGCTGCTCACTTCATGATGCTACGTTATGACCACATGTCAGGTCCATGTTCTCTGAGAACGGACACCAGTGGAGATTTCATGTCACTGACTGTCCTATATGCATGCCCTTCTGGAAAAAAAATGCTGTTTCTATCAGTGACCTTGTAACTGAGCCCAGACAGAGGGTTGGCAGCACAATAGGGATTATTTACTGCCTAGATTTTATTTTTATTTTTATTATTATTTTGTGCTTTTTGACTTCACTGCACAGCATGTGGGAGCTTAGTTTCCTGATGAGGACCTGCAACTCCTGCATTAGAAGCATGGTCTTAACCACTAGATCACCCAGATTTTAAACTCACAAAGGCTGGCTCCAGAGAGCATATTCTCACCACTACACCATCCTACCTCTCCCCAAGCTCCCTGCGCATATGTGTGCATGTTAAGTCGCTTCTTCAGTTGTCTCTGACCCTGTGTGACCCCATGAATTGCAGCCCACCTGGCTCCTCTGTCCATGGGATTCTTCAGGAAAAATACTGGAGAGGGTTGCCATGCTCTCCTCCAGGGGATCTTCCCGACCCAAGGATCGAATCCGTGGGCAAAATCAGATGGCCTGAGGTTTTGCAAAGCGAAAGAAAGTTGCAAGAGATGATCACAGATGATTTGCTGCATTCATGTGGAGGTAGGCATCCAGGGCAGACTCAGTGACTCTCAGCTCTCTGGGTGGTAAGTTTCTGGCTGTGCGCTTGGCAGCCTAGTCTGATTCCAGTGTCAAGACTCCCTTAGATCTTGCCCTTTCACTTAGCCTGCTCTTCAATTCCCATCAAATTACGAGCTTCCTGTTTCCCCTCCAATAAATTATTCTTAAGTGAAATTATTCTTCTGCAACCAGGAACCCTGGCCAACACGATAAGTCATTAATTTACCCATTAGCAGAGAGCCAACTGTGGTAATGAAAGTTGGGGTTCCACACAGAGTCCTGCTGAGCACTAGACCTCTAGCACCCTGGGATTTCTGCCGGTTTGCTTCTAATTCTTTACACTGTCGGCAGCGGCTGCGGGCCTTACAGGGCACCTAGCTTCAGGCCATGTGCATTCAGATGAAGCTCTGTCTGTGCTATGCACCTCCCAGACTAAACTGATTGATTCAGGTTCACAGCCTCACTCACATGGGGCCGCAGGCTCAACGACAGCGACAAGAAAGGCCCAGAAGGTTCTAGAGCTTGGAAGGGAACTGAGCCAAGTCACGTTAGTGATTGTGCCCTGGGAAGGCCATGGCATCTGCTTTCCTGGTTTTTACTATTTGATTCTTTTCATTTCATTAGATGCCCTGGTAAGAATCCTTCCAATAAAGCCTTCTTTTTGTGTGAATTTCAATCTGTCTTTAGTAACACAATAGCTTTGCTACGCTAACTTGCTGTACACTCCTCTCTCCCCTCAGTCCAGCTGCCTCCCTCCCTGCCACCCCACACAAGGGAGTTCTTACAAGGAGACTTTTCTCTTGTGATTCAGGTATCATAGAAAAAGAGAAAACAAAAGGCGATACAGACTAGAAGCCATTAAAAATGAAAAAAGTACCCTTTGAGGACTAAGACTTTTTTACATTGTTTTTCATCTAACTTTACTGTTAGATTTTTCCCTTTTATATCTACTTTGATAGCATTGCAACCTTAAAACTTTCATCCTCTTAACTCCGAACTCTGGAAATGTGGTTTTTCAGATACTTACATACTGGCGACTGATTTGAATTAGGGGAGTTGATATCTTTGTTTCAAGTGTTTAATTATCTTCAGGGGAAAAAAAAAAGTACAGTTTTCCACTGAAAATGATCAAGGCCCAGCAGAGAAATGACTGATTTCTGGATTGAGAAGAGGGGTACAAGATGAACCTGGAGCACGGAGTTATGCCAGAAAGGAAGGAAATGCTCCAAAAACTGATGGAGGAGTGATGCGGGAACTAGTGTGCAAATTGGGTGCAATTTGAGTATCAAAATGATTCAGTAATGAAATAAAAACCACTGGTAAAACTCTCTCTCACACATACACAATCCTAGCTATATGTGAGTTTACATGGATAATAAATAAACCAAAAAGGGGCAGAGGAAGGCTTACAGCAGAATGTCTGGTGCCAACTGGTCAGTGGAGAGAAGCTGGAGCTGGACAATAATTTCCTAGCCATTAAGCCTAAATAGACTTGCAGCCCAGGAACATGACAAATAGTTCTGACATGGAATTTGGTTATAACCAATGCACCAAAACTGTAGGGGACTCAGATTTTTCAACTCATTAGTGTAAGAAGAATAAGAGATTTAAAAGTCAGCTTAAGGCTCAGAAAATGATAAGGGGAACTCCAAGCAAAACATTTTTGTTAAAGAACAACCAGCACAACTTAGACAAACTGCTACCAACCTACAACTGGTCAGCTAAAATGGAAATAACACCTCCCCGGCGGCCAAAAATGCTACAAAATGGAATGATGCTAGTTGACACTTACTAGCCGACAGAGCCAAGTTAGTCTGCAGTTAAGAAAGGGTAGAACCAGAGTTTGAACTCAGGCAGTCAGACCTAAGAACCTACATTTTTAATCCCTATACCAGCATGAGTTAAATACCAATTCCCCGGTACACATTCCAGTTCCAACAGGAGGTCTGCATCCAAAATCAAGACATCAGAGATGCTGGAGACACTCGAACTGATTAACAAGCAGCACTTTTCCAAGCCTCATTTGATACCAAAAATCAATAAAAATCACACTTCTCCCCATTTCGTTGCTATTGTCTAGACACTTTCTTCCTACATGGAGTGATGTTCATCAGGTTATTATCAGAACTCTTTTGTCCTACGTTTATCTGAGGAACTGATGAGGAATTTCTTTCTACTAATTTCAGCCATCTCCTTTATTTCTCCCCTTTCTCCTTCCACAAGAAAGTACCACGCTGACACCTTGCAAATAGCAGCCCCAAATGGACACTAAGTTTCATCTTTCCGAGTGGACACTGACCCATGCTTTTCTTAAGCACAAACAGGATATGGCCCCACTGAATGTACTTTGGAAATGTCCTTAAATCACTTCGTTGCAGCAGCATGCTTCCTTGTCAAAGAGCTGGCGGCCTTTTGGCTCATTCCACCCTCCGCACGGGATCCTCAACTCCTATTTGCAAAACAGCTTTCACCTGAGGTACTCAGGCAGCGGTTCATCTAATGCACCCATTATAACAGCTCAGGTGACTTTCATTTTCACTCAAACTGCATGACTTTAGACAAAAAAGGATTCCCTGATTTCTGTGTTTTTGGCGTCATGGCCTCCTCCTCTTCTGTCTTAAGAAATGCAAGTATGCCCTGCTCCCTTGCAGAGCAAACTAAACTGGAGGTTTCAAAGTCCATCCTTGGGGTTTTGGATAGTTCCATGTGGTATAGCAACTTGCTAACAAGTTCTGGATGATTAGCACTGAGATGGTGTGCTAGTCACAGCTGAGGATGATTAAAAAGGGGTTCCTGGGAGGTCAGGCAGTGCTGAAAGGGGCAATGAGAGGGTTAGGGCAAGGGCCTGGCGGGTACAAAAACAGATTCTAGTCACCTGGATTAAGTACGACTTTCAGGGAAAACATACCTACAAACATCCCTGCCCTAGTTTGATTGTAAGTAAGTCAAGCATTTTACCCCTGAACAGTCTTATCACCAAAACAATATGGTCAGCTTCCTGCTTAATTTTCATTTGTCAAGCTCCTGGTATATTTCAGGCACTGAATTTTACACACTGACACAGATCAAAAAGTATTTCACAAGGAAAGAGGACTCAGTCTGTCCTTGAAAAAGTATGCGGTTAAAGGGCTTCCCAGGGGGCTCAGGGGTAAAGAATCTGCCTGCAATGCAGGAGACACAAGTTCGATCCCTTGGTTGGAAAGATACCCTGGAGAAGGAAATGGCAACCCATTCCAGTATTCTTACCTGGGAAATTCCATGGAGAGAGGAGTCTGGCGGGCTACAGTCCAAGGGATGGAAAAGACTGGGGCTAAACAATAACAACAATGCAGCTAAAGCCCGGCCTGCCCCTAATCTTCGTGGAGCCTCGGACAGGAGGACACTGGGGGCCCACATAATTACTTTTCAGTGCTACCCACCAAGAGACAGTCACAGAATCCTCTTTCCTTGGCAAATGTAGCTTTGGAACAACCTGGAAGGCCAAGTACATTAGGATTCTCAGACCCCTCCGAGCTCTGGGCCAGGCGTGAAAGGGCAGCCCAGGCCAGCGGACAGAATCCTTTTCCTTCCCCTCCGAGGCTCCATCTCCTTCCAGAGTGGCCTCTCAGGCCCACCTGCAGACCTGAGCCTACCGTTCCAGCACAGCGGCCTGGGTAGGCACTTCTCAGGGAAAGAAAAAAGTTGAACTATTTGCAGCTATCCAGAAAGATCTGACAGCTGCTACTCTGGTATGAAAGAAGGAAAAGGTAAATCTTCCTCAACAGCAAACAAACTGAAGAGGGTTCTAGAAAGTTCCAAGAGAAGGGATCCTGCCCTAAGGCGTACACTGGGCAAACTTTTAACACTCTCTTTCCGTTTTTGAAAGTGAGCGTCCTACCTAGACCTGTGCAGACGCCCAGAGAGCCCGATGAAGAACTAGCCAGAGCGGCTGGGGAACCGGAGTCCCAACCCTAGGAAGGAACACACGGGGAGCTGAGCTGAGCAAGGGAGGTTTGGGCCTTAACGCAAACAGGCCTCCCCAAAGGGAGCTCGGGGAGGCAGGCGGAGGCCGTCACAGCGGGGAGAGAGGTTAAGGCTTGGGTTGCACCCCCACGACAGACCCGGTATCTGCTTTGCCTTTTCTCAGTCAGGGCAAGTTCGCCAATTTTGCGTCCTGTTTTTAATTCTCTAAAATGGGATATCACTTGTCCTCATCACTGGGCGGCGATGCGCATAAGAACCGAGCGCTGTTCCACACTTCGTTAGCGCTCAGTCAACCGTACTTGGTCGGGAGCGCAGGGGCCAGGATGAACCCAAAATGTGGATTAAACAGCTCCCCACCACCAACCCCCAGCATCCAAGATACGTCCTGCAGAGGCGGTGTGCGCTGTGGACGCAGGGGTGAGGTGGATGAGGCTTTAGGGAGAGACGCAAACAACGGAGAAAGCAGAGGTCAAATGTTACCTCTCAGCTGTTCGGGGTCAGGAAGGCGGTGCCTTCCAATGTCGCCCAGCTGGAGGTGCAAAGGACTGCCGCCTAAGGGCCCGACTTGCTGTCATCCGCGAGCCCCTGGGAGGAGGAGGAAGCCGCGCAGCAGCAAACCGCTCGGTTCCAGGTCCTCCAGCCAGGGATCCGGGCGAGGGAAGCGGCCGGGAGCGAAATGCCCGGAGCTCAGGGGTGGGAGACGCTCACTCACCCAGAAGCAGCAACTTGAGCTCGCGGCGCGCGTCCTTCTTGTCCCGGCGAAGCTGCCGCTCGATCTCGGCGCTGATGCGCTGCGACTCCTTCTCCTCCGCGGACAGGCAGCAGCAGCCGGCCATGGTACGCGCAGCCCCCGACAGGCCACGAAGTCTCGAGCGCCCGGACGCTCCGCCGGCCGATCCGCGACGGCACTGGAGTTCGGAGGGTAAAGACCCGGGCCGATTCGAGTTTCGGAGTAAGAGGTCGGGACCGCTCGGGTTCAGTCCCTCCTGGAAGGGCGTCTCCGGGGCGGGAGCGAATCCGGAGCTCTGGGATCGCTCAAGTGCACCGCAGATCCCGACTCACCCAGCCCCACGCGGGGGAAGGTGGAAGGCGAGCCGAGGGAGAGAGCGTTGCCGGCCCCCGAAAACCAGCACGCCTCTTGGCACAGGAGCTCGGCAGTCTGGGAGCGCAGACCGTTCGGGAAAAGTTGGGGCGTCGGGGAGCGGGATCTCCTGGACTCGGGGATGTCCCAGGCAGGCGGCAGGCAAGGCGTGGGTTGAAGGCAGAGGTCCTAGCGGGCCCTCTCCTGCAAAGTTCTGAAAACCTCAGCAGTGACCGCAGCCTAAGACAGACTGGAAAAGTTCCCGGAGGCGCTAGTGGCTCGAAGTGGCCGAAGAAGGCGGAGCCTCTCGAACCCGCAGCTCTGGCGTCGGCTCGAGCTGGCCTTCGCTGCTCGCCAGGTCGATGGCGCCCGGGGGCAAGAGCGGGGAGTAAGGGAGCTGCGGAGCCGAGCCCAGGCGTCTCGAGTCTTGGGGAGCAGCCCCCACACCCCCTGGCCGTGGTGGCCCGGCGCGCGGAAGGCCGAGGCTGCGGTAACCAGCGTATGCTGATCTCCAGGCCCCGCTCCCTGTCCGGATCCAAGTTCCGACAGGTGAGTGAGGTTTGCCAACTCCCAGCCTCAACTCCTCCCAGCTGCAAAAGGAGCCGAGCGCGCCAGGGGCGAGGCTGAGTTCCGCCCCTGAGTTGAAACTCAGGCTCTCACAACCTGCCTCAGCACCAGGCACCCCGCGATTTCCTAGACGGATCCCCTAGGCTTCCCGGACGCCCCAGCCCAGCGCCGGCTCGGCCAGATCCCTGGGTGAGCCTCGGCTGGACTTGAGCCGGTTGGCGCTGCTCTCGGAGAAGCCGCTGCCCCCGGGTTCTGGTCGATAGAAGTGCGAAAGCGGGGTGGGTAAATATCCTCCCGGCCCCTTCCTACGCCGCCGGGGACGGGGGAATGGAAAACGGCTGGCTACTTTGCATTTTACGATGGTAAAGGCTCCTGCTTTGGAGAGAGCTGACCCGTTTACAGCAGGTGCCCTGCCCCAGCCCTGAAGCCTGACGACCGCCGGTCTCCTGGAACTTCGGGATCACAGTTGAACTGCATTAACAAAAACTTAAACATTAAAAAGCATCTCTTTGTACCCAAATGGAACGATAGAATGCGTATTACAACAACTGGTTTTTGTCTTCCGTGTACATTTTGAGGCAGAAGGCAGAGAGGTTGACGGGGAAAGCAGAAAAGGGAAGGTGGAAGGAGGGGATCCTATTGTCCATAGCAAAGAACTTTTTTTTTTTCCCCCTTCTGTTCAAGTAAGCTTGTGCCATGTAAACACTTTTTGGAGTTAGGCAATTAGTTAATGCTTCCTCTATTAAGAACAAGCCTGGGTACCTTTCCTAGGAGTAGCATAAAGTGAAAGTCGCTCAGTAGTGTCCGACTCTTTGCGACCCCATGGACTATACAGTCCCTGGAATTCTCCAGACCAGAATACTGAAGTGGGTAGCCGTTCTCTTTTCCAGGGGATCTTCCCAAGCCAGGGATCGAACCCAAGTCTCCTGCATTGCAAGCGGATTCTTTACCAGCTGAGCCCCAAGGGAAACCCAGTCAGTTCAAACTGAGGAACATATTGAGTGGAGAGAGTGGTATATGTCATTATATAAAGAACTTGACATTAGGATACTATCTGGCTGCAAAAGGTCTTATTATTTACAGTTTAGGAAATGTAGAGGAATCAGGCATTTAAAATGGATGTCCCTGTTTTTTTCTAATATTTATTTATTAGGCTACATCGGGTCTTAGTTGCTGCAGGCATGATCTTCTTTGCGTCGTGGGGAATCTTTCCTTTCCTGCACAGAATCTCTAGTTGTGACCTGCGGGCAAATGTGCATACATTCTTAAGTGCATAACTATTTTAGTTACCTTGCAGACATAAATTGACAGTAATAGTGACCCCTACAGGAAAGCTCCTGGACATTTCTTACTTGATCATTATCTATTTATTCATACATTTCTCTCTTAGCTCTTACAGATGCATTTACAATTTAAGGATAAGACCGCTTAGCTTCTCAAATGAATAATGGCATCATAATTATTAGTATTTTTTCAATAATGAAAACTAGGGAAATTTTGAACTCTCAAGTTAACTGGAATAACTGATCTGTTAGATCTAAATTTGCTAAGATTTCAAGAAAGACATGAAGCTTATTGCTTATGGCAAATCTGCAAAACTTTCCTGGGCTAACCAACTTGGCAGTGTGTCTCAGAAGGCTTAACATGTCTATCCCCTTTAACCAAACTAGTAATTCCCCCCTTAAGAAATGATAAGACAAGTCAAAGATTTTATTTCTAATGAAAACAATGATGCAAAAACAATCTAAATGCCCAAAAAGGGTGAGAATAGGTCAATAAATTATAGTACATTCATACAATTAGATAGTTCAGTCTCTCAGTCGTGTCCAACTCTTTGCAACCCCATAAACTGCAGCACGCCGGGCTTCCCTGTCCATCACTAACTCCCGGAGGTTGCTCAAACTCATACCCATCGAGCTGATGATGCCATCCAACCATCTCATCCTCTGTCGTCCTTCTCCTCCTGCCTTCAATCTTTCCCAGCATCAGGGTCTTTTCCAAGGAGTCAGTCCTTCGCATCAGGTGGCCAAAATATTGGAATTTCAGCATCAGTCCTTCCAGTGAATATTCAGGACTGATTTCCTTTAGGATGGACTGGTTGGTTCTCCTTGCAGTTCAAGGAACTCTCAAGAATCTTCTCCAACACCACAGTTCAAAAGCATCAATTCTTCGGCGCTCAGCTTTCTTTATAGTCCAACTTTCACATCCATACATGACTACTAGAAAAACCAAAGCTTTGACTAAATGGACCTTTGTCGGCAAAGTATTGTCTCTGCTTTTTAATATGCTGTCTAAGTTAGTCATAGCTTTTCTTCCAAGGAGCAAGCGTCTTTTAATTTCATGGTTGCAGCCACCTTCTGCAATGATTTTGAAGCCCAAGAAAATAAAGCCTTTCACTGTTTCCATTGTTTCCCTGTCTATTTGCCATGAAGTGATGGGAACAGATGCCATGATCTTCGTTTTTTGAATGTTGAGTTTTAAGCCAGCTCTTCCAACTCTCCTCTTTCACTTTCATCAGGAGGCTTTTGAATTCCTCTTTGCTTCCTGCCATAAGGGTTTTGTCATCTGCATTTCTGAGGTTATTGATATTTCTCCTGGCAATCTTGATTCCAGCTTGAGCTTTATCCAGCCTGGCATTTCATATGATGTAGTCTGCACATAAGTTAAATAAGCAGGGTGACACTATATAGCCTTGACGTGCTCCTTTTCCAATTTGGAACCAGTCTGTTGTTCCATATCCAGTTTTAACTGTTGCCTCTTGACCTACATACAGGTTTCTCAGGAGGCAGGTCAGGTGGTCTGGTATTTTCATCTCTTTAAGAATTTTCCACATTTTCTTGTGATTCACACTAGTCATTAAATATGGGAATGTGTAACAAATATGTGAATAAAAATGATTTAGTGGGAAAACCACAAAATATGTTATTGTAAAAGTATAATGCAAATTTTATTATGGGAATGCACATATGCATCTTTAAGGGACTAAAAGAACATACACCAAAAAATAACCTGCTCTGAGTCATAGTTTTTTGGTTGATTTTAATTCTCTGACATAAAATTATTTGGGGCAGCTTGCATAAAGTAATCTAGGCCCTAATTTCCTCAGCTGTAAAAATGAAAGGGGATGAACCAGAATAAACTCACAGAAATCTCCCAACTCTAACATCAATTATTTCTTTGAAGATTTTCACTTATAAGGTAGTATAAAAACAATCATAAACCAAAAAAAAAAAAAAAGCATAAACCAAAAGTTATTGACCAGTGATAACTAGAGAGGATTGTAAAACTAATATATCACAAGTCAATTATTTTTATACTTGTATATTTTTTATTCACATCTCTTATTTTCCTTTAACATCTAGGGAAGGGATGGGAATAATTTTTAAGTTACTGTGTCATTTGCAACATTGTTGCTGAAATTCAGCTTATTGTACAGTGGTGGGGTATTAAATCTCAGAAATAGAGGTTTGGGTGAAGCAGAAAGAAACAGCTTTATTGCTTGCCTGTGGCAATGGGCGCCGGAGCAGGCTCATGCCCCAAGGCGGTTTGTCTGGCCTCTGGAGAGAGTACTGAGGAGTCTTCCTGTGTGCAAGGAGCAGGACGTGATCAGCTCGTGGACATTCTTCTGATTGGTTGGTAGTGAGGTAACTAGGAGTAAGCATCATCAACCTTCTGGTTCTAACTGGTCTGGAGTCTAAGTGCAAAACACAGTTAACTTTTTCCACCTGGTAGGGGTTTCAGTATCTGCCAAATAGCTCAAAGGACATGGCTCAGAATATTATCTGTAGCTCTTGAGGAAGAACTAAAGAACCTTGACTTTGTTTAATGGCTAAAGTATTATTTTGTCTTGCTTGACTGTTTTCCTCCTTTCTCCATTTTCTCACTTCTTGATTAAATTTATTCCTTGACTAAAGTTTTTCTACAGATAAAAGGCAGACAGAGGGCAAAAATGGAGGTCTTTTCTGGGAAGGCTTCCTGGGGTCCTGCGCAGTGATAACATCTTTACAAGAAGGGGATTTTTGAAAAGAGGTCTCAGTAAAAAAAGAATATTTGTTTTCTTAGGTTATTCCCAAGGTGCTGCAATTCCATTTCATTCCTCTTGAAGATCAGAGCACAGCCTGAACATGACTTTTCTGATACCTGCCAAGTGCTGGGCTGCGAAGGTGAATTAATTGCCTGAATGTGCCCTGAGCCCGTGCCAAGGCTATTACCAGGCTCTGAAAATTAAGACACTGAGACATTCCAGACTTTGGTGGACTATAGATAGTAGAAAGAAATAAGACTAAGACTGTAAAATCTGAAGTCAGCCCTCCTTGCTTCCTCGCAGAGAGTCCAGCACAGAATAACCTGGGTGGTTGCCCACAGTGGGTCCTTTAGCTAACATCTCCCTTCCGCTAAGCCTCACCTCTCCCATCACTCTTGGAATTTCAGACAAACGTAACTATGTGTTCTCCCCACCTCTGTCTCAGTTCAAGCTGTTCCCTCTTCCAGGAATGCTGTATTTCACCCAAGACAAAATTAGGTACTTTCTTTCCCAAACACATCTCTTCTGAGAAACCGTCTCCACCCTTGTCAGTCAGACACATCTTTCTCTACTGACTGAGCACCTCCTATGTTCCTCTCAACATCTCACTTTATTACGCCTCTTTGCTGCTTCTCCTAATTCGTTAGTTACAGGTAGAGAGTTTTTTCTTGTTCATCTGGTATTTCTAAATAAAATTTAGTTGCTTGAATAAAACTGAAACCAAAAAGAGTTAGCTGAGATAAGAGAAAGAAGAAACTGGAAGA